AGAGACAACCAAGTTTCCGTATTCCCAAATCACTGGGAATAGAGGAAATGTTTTAAATTAAACATGGTTTTTAAAACTTAGATCCCATCCTTTGCAATCTAAGTTGAAAATAACAGTTAAATGTAAAGTAAAAAGAGGACTTCATGAATAAGTCAAACTAAGATCCTAGAAACAATCAAGGAATAACTGTTCAAAGTTTAGTTTCATAATAATTGACTTAAATACCAAGAATCACAGTTAAAATAACTCTGGGTATGTTCTATCATTATGAAACAGCTTTCCTAAAAGTTTCAGCTTTATTACCCTTGATTAATATGATCATTGTTTTTATATTAAGTAGTGACAGTTGTATAAAAGTTACAACATTATTCTGTTCTGTCTTGAAAGTTCTGTACCACATTGACCTGAACCTTGTTTATAACAGTAATAACTAGTAGATTTGTATTCATAATCTCTATAAGGCAGTGTTTTTAAATTTTTCATGGGTCATAAAGAAACTGGACCTTCTCCCCATAAAAATGCACAAGCAGATAGACTAAAAGGGAGTCTAACAAGGCCATATTAAAAAAAGAAAACTCACTTCTAAGAAAATTCCAGAAAACAAACTAAAATTAAAATCTTACCCAAAATAATATACTCCCTTAGGCCACAAATTTTGCCTCATCTCACACTTTATTCTCCTTAAGGATAGTCACAAACCCTATAAAAAGCTGTTTTCTTAAATACACACACACTCTTCGGCACTTTTAGATTTAAATCATTAATGTTGCAAGAGGAAGAGCTTGAGTAAAAAGGTAAAAGTCTGTAATTTATTGAAGTTTGTGTTTTATAGAAGCACTTCTCACAGTCAGAATAGCTATTATAGACCAAAATTGTTTCCACTTCTAGAGTGATAACTTGAGAATCTTTAATATTCCTCTGTAACAATCTGCAGTTGTCAGTTTCAATTTGACTGCTAAGTGAAGCCTATCCTCTGTATCCACAAATCCTGGCCAAATGTGATACAACCTGAAAAACTGATTGCATAAAGGAATATTATTAAAAACTTGATTTCCTTTGCACTTTGGATTCAGGTTATTTCTTAATATTTGGTAGATCAATTTGTGTGTGTGTGTGTATGTATGTATGTATGTGTTATATGCAGTTTGTGGCTATAGAGAAGTTTTAAAATACTAAAGTGTCCTGTCAAGGTTAAATTAGAAATTGAGTCTGTTTTTCAGTTTTTCCCTATCTTTAAATAATATTTTATCAGCTCTCCAGACTTCCTGGCACCCATGTTCTTCTTCCACTTAGTGAGGCTTTTTAGCAGCAGTATAGCAGCACCCCAATCTAATGGTACCTGAGTGTGTGTGTGTGTGTGTGTGTGTGTGTGTGTGTGTTAAAGTATTCATTTTTCTTTGTAAGAAAGAGATCCCAAAACCTCTTGCCATCTTTAGGTTATCTTCAATACAAACCAGATAATATAGTTTTGGTTTTGTTAGATAATTTTTCTTTAAAGCAAGATACTTAATCAGTTATTTCAGGAGTGACTGTCAGGATCAAAGTTTGACTTCCTCGATGAACCACGATGGAAAGGGAATCATTGTCCTTGACAGCTTCAATAACATCAGTTGTGGTGGTAACAGGTTGACCATTTATGCTGACAATTACATCGTGGTCTCTCAACCCAGAGCTGGGAGGGGGAGAAAAAAAGGACCATGAAAATATAAGAGTTTTACTTATCCCTGTCTAGAATTTAGTATCTATCTCTTACGGCACTACTGTTTTGCTGGCATTAAACATATCAAACAGAAACCAGAAATAGCCTCAATCTTTTCAAATACGAGGGCTATTCTAAGATATGCTGTGAAATCACCTAGAGGACAACAATCTTATTTACCTTTACAAAATTAATACTCTACCAGAATCATGTGTAAGAAGTTTATTCCTCCCACATATTAGATTTGGTTTGGAATAAGGAGTTTTTAGCTTTTAATTTCTATTAATCTCTGATCTCTATTAACCTCAATTATATTTCCAGTCTTAGCAGCAAACATGAAAAGCCCAAGCAATATATTTTCCCCAGAGAGCCCACTCTCTGGGCAAAACACTCTGATCAGTTTGATTTTGAGAGCCCACTCACCCCATCTTTACCCACAGTTTAAGGAACTAGAAAGTATGCTGAACTACACTACTAAAAGTTCTGCTCCCAGTAAGTCAAAAACCAGTCACCCTTCCATGCCTAAACATTTAAGGTTCTGGTCCTAGGCACCTTTTCTCCAAAGCTGTGATTGTATTCAGTCTTCAACATATTTGCTTCACATAGAATATATATTCTAGAAACAAAAACCACCTCCAAATATGTAACACTAGAATAAACATATAGCCATGCTGTTGATTTGTCTTCAAGTCAAAAATAAGCTGAAAGAGGGACATCAAATTAAGTGACTCCAGGAGACACCATTTAAGAGAAATGGGAAGCCAAAAGAATAATTTGGGAGGACCACCAAGATATGTGGAGTTTTGGGGGGGTTTTTTAGTAGAAATTTAAAGCAAGAGGATGTGAAAAGAAGTTTGAAGGTAGAGCTAAAAGCATGGAAATCCTTTAGAACAAATTCAGCTCAGGAAGGTGGCTAGAACAATGCACAAAGAAAGAACTTAATTCATGGTAGTTTTGTGAGTGGAAAAAGAAACCTGGAAATTATTAGTGAGGGCAAACTATACACCAAAAATGAGAAAATGAGGCTCAGGATAAATGTTCCACAGCTTGTAGAATGCTAAACTAGAACTTGATCTTCGGTCTTTCAGACTTGAAAAGCCATCTTCTTACCCCTCGATCACTCTGCCTCTCAGAAGCAATAAATGCAGGTACAAAAGCAGGATAATGGATTAAGCTAAGTTCCATATCCCTGCTGACTTATTGTGTAATTCTCACATTAACCTCTCAGCTGCTTTCCTCTGTAAAATAATACATCATAAGACTACTGCAGGCTCCAATAAATATGTAAAACATTTTAAATAGTGCTTAATGTATAGTAGGTGGTTAATAAATGCCAGTTGTTATCAATAATGTATCATCATCGTTATCAGATATAAGTGAGAAGTCAGAAAGAACAGATTTTGATTTAGCAGTGACATCAAGCAAGCATTAACTCCCACATTTTAATGTGCATCCGAATCATGGAGATCTTGTTTAAAATGCAAATTCTGATTTAATGGTGGGCCTGTCATTCTGCATCTCCCAAAAGCTCCAGCTGATGCTAATGCAGCTAGTCTACAGACCTCATCTTGAGAAGCAAGGACATGGAGAGCTGAAATAGCTGTGGCCTTAAACCGGAGGTTTAAGTGTGGCAGGTGGCAGGGATAGGAACCAAAAAAGTCTTAAAAAGCCTGTGACAAACCAAACATGAGACCTAACACTTAGCTATTCTGAACAGTTAGTACCCAATTGTTTCTTGCCCTTATTAAAAGAGTCGTCATAATCTTAACAGATTGTTGAGCTCTTGAAAAACAAAAAGAGAGAAGGACAGTAAAGTGTAAGAGAGAGACCCAGGAGAATAACTGGCAGAAAAGCCTCTTCCCTCAGTAGTTAGTATAAATGCTCAAAACAACAATAAAATCAACTGGAGCTTTTTTTTTTGGAGAGCTACTCTAGCCTTTGTTTTATTCACTTTATTCCTGTGTTTATTTGCTTATTTGTTTATTTAGTGGTGGCCTCAAATACCGTCACCCAGAATTCAAAGAAAAAAGTTTTAAGGTACCTAAAATTAAATTTATGTTATTAATTCATATCATGAATCTTTGGGCTACAGAGAACCATTCCCTTCCCCCGCCTTCCCAAAAAAAGGCCTTACAGTACACAAGTCTAAATCAGCAGTACTGTCCAATAGAAATGTAAGCCAAGCCACGTATATAATTTTAAATTTTCTGGTAGCCACATTTAAAAAAAATTTTTTAACTAATTTAAAAAATATATCTTATTTAACAATATGTCTTAAATACATTAATGTAATATTTTAATAATTATTAATACACATTTTACACTGTTTTAAGTCTTTGAAATCTACTAGAAACAAGTCAGCAATAATACCTTACACAATGCAATGATTAAAGTGAAAGGCAGACCTCTCAAAACAATAACAAGTGTGTTTAATGGAAAAATGTTTTACATTGCTTCTGGGTTTTTTATTTAAATAAATTGAACTTTTGAAAAATTTAAAATTTAGTTCCTCAATCACACCAGCCACAGCTCAAGCATGTAGCCATGTGTCAGTAGGGGCCACTGCACTGACCAGCACAAGTCTGGAGGCTGCACGTTTCCCATGTCACACATGGGCAAGGGCCTGAGCTGCTCTTACCTTTCAGCAGCTGTTCCTTGAATCACTTCATATACAAAAACCCCAGAACTCACATCGGGGAAATCTGGATTTTGCCTTTTCATGTCTTGAAGAAGGCTAAGAAAAGTAAGAGTTTTCTCATAAGGTTAAAAAGCACAGTGATTTAAACTCCTAATTCCTGGGCAAAGCCTCTGAGTCTCAGTAGGTACTCTTGTCTTATTTTCCCCAGCTTTATCGAAGTATAACAATTAGTTGCTCATATTTACACTGTACAATTCAATGAGGTTTATTTTTTCAATTATAGTTGGCATACAATAATGTTAGTTTCAGTTGTACAGCATAATGATTAGAGCTCTATATAACTCACGAAGTGGCCACTCCACTAAATCAGGTACCCCTCTTCCTCCTTACATATTTTTTACAACATTGTTATTTTCCTTCTGCTACACTTTATATCTCCATGACTATTTTGTATCTATCAATTTGTACTTCTTAAACACTTTGCCTTTTTTCACTATCCTCCCAACTGCCCCCCCATCCCCATCTAGTTACCCTCAAAATATTCTCTGTATCTATGAGTTTGTTTCTATTTTGTTGTTGTGATTTATTTTGTGCTTTAGATTCCACGTGTATGAGAAATCATATATTTGTCTTTATCTGCTTTATTTCATTCAGTGCAATACCCTCTATGTCTGTCAAGGCAATATCTTTTCCATCCTCTTCCTTTTAGTCTGTGGGTGTCTTTTAATCTGAAGTGAGTCTCTTGTAGGCAGCACATGTAGGGATTTAGTTTTCTTATCCATTCAGTCACTCTATCTTTTGGTTGGAGCACTTAATTCTTTTTCATTTGAGGTACTTGTTGATAAATATGTAGTTATTACCATTCTTTATTCATGTTTTTAATACATGTTTTTTCTTCTTAAAGAATTCCCTCAACAATTCCTGTAATACTGGCTTGGTGTTGATAAATTCTCTTAGCTTATTTTTGTCTAGGAAGCTCTTTATCTGTCCTTCGACTAAATGATAGCTTTGCTGGATAAAGTATTCTTGGTTGTAGATCCTGGCTTTTCATCACGTTGAATATTTTGTGCTAAGCCCTTCTGCAAAGTTTCTTTTGAGATATCAGCTGCCAGCCTTATGCGAGCTCCTTTGTAGGTAACTAACTGCTCTTTCTTGCTGCTTTTAAGATTCTTTGTATTTAACCTTTAGCATTTTAATTATGAAGTGTCTTGGTGTGGGCCTCTTTGGGTTCATTTTGCGGGGGGACTCTGAGCTTCCTGGGGTTGTATATTTCCTTCACCAGGTTAGGGAAGTTTTCTATCATCATTTCTTCAACTATATATTCAACTTCTTGTTAGCCTTCTTCAGGTACCCCATGACACGGATGTTGTTACTGTTAATTTTGTCCTATAGGCTCCTTAAATTATTATTATATTCTTGGTTACTTTTTTTTTTTTTCCCCTGTTCTGGTTGGGTGCTCTTGGCTTCCCCATCCTCTATATTGGTGATTCGATCCTCTTCTTCCTCCACTCTGTTGATTCCTTCTAATATACTCTCCACTTCAGATAATGTATTCTTCATTTCTGACTGGTTCCCTTTTATAATTTCCATTTCCATTTTTATGGTTTTTATCTCTTTGTTAAAGTTCTCACTGAGTTCATACACACTTCTCTTAATTTCACTGAGCATCTTTATAACTAGTGTTTTGAACTCTGCATCTGTTAGATTGCTTGACTCCATTTTTCCTTGATCTATGTTCTTTTCTTTCATATGGTTTCTACTTCTTTGTCTTCCCATTTTGGCCTTTCTGTGTCTGTTTCAGTGTAGTAAGCAAAACTCCTAAGTCTCCTGGTCTTGTTAGTGCAGCTTTGTGTAGTAGGTACCCAGTGGCACAGACCTGAGAGGGGTTCAGCTGCAGGCCAAGTTTAGCCCCAGCCTGTGCCCTTCCAGGGCCACTTGTTAAGATTCAGCAAGCAACTCCCAGATGTCGTGCTTATAGTTGCCTCAAGAAGCCACACCAGAAACTGAGATCAGATGCCTCGTGAGTCTTGGTGCTACTCAGCAAGTGGCACTGGACTCACCAAGGATACAACTGAATGTGGCTTGGGTGGTGCCACACATTGGAGACAGACAGAATTTCAGGGAATCCTCTGGGCAGAGAGACCTCTGTTATCCAGTTTGATGACGTCTCAGCCATGGTGGTGCTGCATCCACACACTGGGAAAGGGGAGGGCTCAACAGAAGAACAATGGATACCGCCAGCACTTATGCCAGGTAGAAAGCTTCACCTCCAGCCCTTGCTCCAACAACTCAGTGTCCCCCTGTAAGTCTCTGGTGACGCCTGAGCAGCCGATGAGAACTGGTGCTCAGAGCGATCAAGTCCACTGTGAAAGTCCGGTTGCAGACCCAGCCCCTTTAAGAGGCGTCTGCAGCTGCTGGCTGCCACTGCCATAGCCTCTGTCCCACTCAGCCTCTGGGGACCCAGCAGCCTTGCGTCTTCGCCCCCTCCTACCTCCAATCCTTGTAGGGTGATTTCTTATTTCTCTCCCTAGTTGTAGGGCTTCTGTTCATCTAGACCCCCAGGCAACTCTGCTTGCTGTTTGCTCCACGTTTCTGTCTTTGATGTGGTCACAAGAGAGGATGAGTGAAATTCTATCATCTATGTGATTTTGCCCAGTTCAGTACTCTCGTTTTTTCTCTCAAGGCTCACAGGGGCCAGAGGGGACTCTATCAGGCGGGTCACACTTATTCTTCCCTGAGGGTGCTCCAATTCTCCATGCCAAAGCCTAGAACCATTGGACATTATAAAACATAGCCACAGTGAAAAAAAACTACTGAAAAGTACAATGAATATTGGTGCAAGTTGAGGCACATACCTACCCTGTGACAAATAGGGCCTATGGCCACAAGAGTACCCAGCTGTAATCTAAACACTTTAGTTTCCCTGTTAAGACTATAAAGCTACAGCTTTTGCTTCTGAAAACAACCCTGACATATTCAAACCTATGCTTACTTCATAGTGAGGGGCAGCATTCGCAAACCCAGATATTTCTTCTGTGAAAGAGCCTTTCCTGGAAAGAAAAATTATAATGTGTTACCAACAACAAAATTTCTCTCCTTTTGGCAGATCTTAAAAGACACCAGAGTCACAGAATATCCTTACCATTATAGCTGCCTTTTTAGGCTGTCAGCCATGAAATACGTGACTCAGAGAACTTTTGTCATTAACACAGACACCACTCCTATCCACCTCCCCACCAAGTCCTCAGGTTTCCTTTCCATAATAGTTCAATCCAGATATTTCTGGGTACAATTCATGACTGGTTTTGTGATTAGTTCTCCATGTTGCTGCCCAAACCACCATGATAGGGTCTGGGTTCCAGTGGCTCAGTATTCTACAGAACTGAATTGTGTAGAAATGGCTTTCTACACAATAAATTGAGCGCTCCTGAAAAACATACAAGGGGAAAGAAAAGTCTTAACTCCCCTTACCTTTCAACTGGCGCTCATGGAATTCCTCCAAGAACTGTCGAATTCGATCTGAAGGAATTGCAAAGGAGATTCCTGCGGTCACCTTCAGTGTATTTATGCCAATAACATCACCATCCTGGCAAGGGAGCAGACATCATTCAGTCGCCAAGTTGTGCAAACTGAACGACATATAGGAAGAAGTGAAGCTAATCACTTGCAGTCAGAGTACAGAGTACAGAGGGGCTAGAGGAAATGCGTGCTTCTTCAATAGAGAGCAATGAATGTTATCTTACAGGGCTCACAGTATGATAGGATAGTAGAGGGGA